TTAATATTATATTAAAAATCCACAATATTATTAAATACTTTCTTACTATATCGGCCACAATTTTGAAAAAAATTACCTTCTCCTATTATGCTCTATCATTGCATGTCATGTCATGTTCAAGGGTGTGCTTTATGCGGCAAACTATTTTAAGAATATACATATGGTATTCCATCCAGCTGCTATTGCGCATTTGAAATAGCCAAATTAGAGTGTAGCATTCACTTCTTCTGTGAACTTAAAAAAAGAAGACAATAGGAGACGACGGAACTTAATCATCAACATTTCATAGATACTATTATATTGAGAGATTTTTCTCGACAAAGAGACGACGAAATACCCATGAAAATTCCCCAGATTTTTGCTTTTCTATTTTTTTCCAATGCGGCACTCGAAAGATATTTTTAGAAAATGGTTCCCCTGCATCTTTCGCAGCTAAATCGGTGCCAAGCGCTTGTAGAAAGACCCCATTTAAACTGCAGCCTCACTACGGTTCTATATTAAGAAGGACCCCAAAACATTAGTCATTAATTTACTTGGTTTTTAGTTTTTTAATAGATGTAGAAATTGAATATAAAAGGGCATCGAAGTCCTTAGTTTTCAGGCTTCATATCTTACAGATTCATAAAACAAAGCTTCAGTAATAGATCTCATGAAGTTATCATCGTTCGCTACATTTGCCGGTTTGGCATACACTGCAGTGGCTGCAGTCACTACTGTCACTTTAAACGCCGAATCTTCTGATCAGGATGTGAATGGCAAAGCTATAACCAGTTTGCACGAAGGAGCAGGATTCAATTATCTCTTCTTATCCGAGCACCCACAGAAGCTTTCTCTTGACGATTCAAACGATTCAATCTTTTTTGAAGCGGCCGGATTTAGATGGAATCTCACTATCAGCGGCAGTGTCGTGTCAATTGGCGTTCTTCAATCTTCTTGGTACACTTCATTGGATGATGATTATATTGCTGTTAATGGTTCAACTGAAGGTTTCTACGCTTGTAAGAATACAAATGATCCATACAACTATAGCAAAGATAGCTACCAAGTCACCTTCCCCAATGGAGAGGCACCAAGTGGATGCAAACCAATCAAGTTGAAGGTTTCCAAGCATGGAAATCCCTCCCATAGCCACAGTCATTCTCCAGGCCCTTCAGAATCGCCATCGCACTCTTATCCACACCACTCACATTCACCGTCACCGTCACACGGTTACCATAACACGACTATCACTAAGCTGAAGACTGTCACTGACTATGTAACTTACTGCCCTGGACCTACAACGATCACCGTCACAACTTGTACCAATGACGTATGCAACCCTAGTACTGTAACGGTTAGCTCCGAAACCACTTTAACCGTCACGGGCGAGTGTGTTGTTCCTACGTCATACACACCTCCACCAGAACAGTCTGAATCACCATCTACACCTACCAATGAAGGATCTACCAGTGCTGCAACTACGCCTGGAGTATCTACAGTTGAAGAGGGCGCTGCTGGAAATAATTTGATTCTGAGCACATTTATGATGGCTGTCGTTGGTGCGGCCATGATTTTCTAAGTTAAGTGTTTGTTCGCCGTTTATTATTAACTCATCTTTGATGTTTTATTGCTTTTATTTTCAGGCATTTTATACCTTCTTTTTTCGGCTCTTTTAAATTACTTTCTTGATAGCATTCGTTTCAAGACTGAGACTCTACACTCGCTGATCTTGAGGCAAAGTGCTAACTATTACTTTTTTTTAAAATATATAGCTTAATCTAAATCATTGTTAAATCAATCAATTTCTGGAGGTAACACCTGATCAAATTCTTCCACTAAACTATCTAAATCAGAAGCTTCATCGCTCTCGCTTAAGCCAGAGTTACCACCTTCATCATCCTCACTAGCGATCTCATCATTGACGCCATTCAGGTCTCTGTCCTTTTCGTTCACACCGACAACACCCCACCTTATGCTTGTAACCTCTTCCAACCTCTCTAGTATTTCGCACATAGGAGTAAATAGACCGAACTGCCTGAATTCCCCGTCATATGAATGTAACATGCCAACAACACCTAAACCCTTGAAGTCTGGAACAGACTTGCAATCTTCCAATTTTGCTAATATCCATGATCCACTGTCGCCGCCTGCAGCAAAGGATGAATTATTCTCAAAAGAATTAACAACAAATTCTGAAGAATGCATTCTTCCATCGAGCCAATAAACCATCTTAATACCATTTAGAAAACCTTTTGTAAACTTAGTAGTGGATCCATACTTGAAAACAGGTAAGCCACTACATCCACGATCCACTGAGACGCTGGAATCCACTTCATCGATATTTAGATCTAAGGTACCCACATCCCTACCAAGATCAATTACAGCTCTTACGTAGAGATTGTCGAACATTAAACCAGGATCAAATTCGTTAAAGGCAATATCATCACCCAAGAAGTTTTGATTACAATCTAATTTATTGTTTACCTTGATGATTGCTAGATCAGACAACCGTTTATCAACAACCTCTTCTCCATCCTTCATCTTTTTAACATCAATCAAGGTTCTTTCACCCCATATAATTTGTCCAAACCTATGCAGTGGTAAGTTTTTAGTTACGTAAGTTTCGGTTTTACTCTTTTTATCCTGAACTTTTATTTTCTTGAGGGGGAACATTTCATCAAGCTGTCTCAAAACACTTCCATAAGCAGCTCTCGCTTCAATCTGTGATATTCCATTGCTCTCTTGAGAGGCCTTTCTATACTGAGCTGATAATGCTTGCTTGTACAAAGAAATAAGTACCGACAGTGGGGCTGACACGTGTGGGTACTCAATGTATTCATTTGAATCTCCAAGGCAAACATGACCGCAGGACACTGCAAATTTGCTATTCAGATACGACTTTAGATGTGGTTGCGTACTACCGTCAATAATGGGATAAATATAACCGCCCATAGTTCCTGAAGTTCTCTCAGAATTTTCTATCGATAAAGACATTGAAATTGGAGGTTTCAATGGATCAACTGGCATACGGAATGGTAACTTGAACTTCTGCAAATTACTTGGTGGGGTATTCAAAGAGGGAGTGGTGCTAGGCTGAGGTAATTGAACATTGGAGGATGCAGTTTTCAAAGAGGCTAAGTCAATTTGATTCTTCATCACAACAAAATGAATATCATCATACAAATCATGTAGGCTCCCGGCCAACTTATAATGGTAGTCACTAGGATTTGGGTAGCCAAAGTATAAACACAAAATATTTAGCTCTTTGCTAATGCCTCGGCCAATTGGCGCAATAAAAGAGCCATTTTGCTCTTTCATAGATATTGAAGCCTTTGACATTTTATCTATTATTCTGCTCAAAACATCCTCATTGGGGAGCTGGTCACCGTCATTAGCACCAATAGAAAAATTCTGGGGTCGCCTCAAGGCTAATGGTTCAAGATTTTGCGTCCTAGAGGTAGAATTTAAACAGTTTGTAAAATCATTGAAATTTTTGCTCAACAAGACCTTTAATTTCACGTATACATCATCGTTCAACAAGTTATCATAGAAATGAAGGTACACTTTCATAATTTTCCTTAGATCCACATTGCTAAAGGTAGTTATGTTCCAACTCTCGTCATCCATATTTGTAGAAATTTCATCCATAAATATAACAAATCTTTTGAAACATTCAATAGTATTAATTACAGCAGTGGTCAAGTTGATCAGACAAGACTTATATTGATTCATGACAAAGGACGCATCTTCATACAACTCATGAAGTTTGTCACAAATAATTTCGGAAGCAGTCTTGTCACTTTCAAAAGTATCTTCAGGAATATCAAGAATTTGTAAAGTCTGCCCAGCATCAACGTTTCTATACTTCATGCGATCTGAATTAGTACCATCTCCTCGATAAGACAGATAAGACGACTGTTTCGTTGAGAATGTCCTTTTACTTTGTGAAAAGACGGATTTTCCCATATATTCGGACTCTTTCGTTAGCATGGTCTGGTTTGAGTGCCCATTCAGAATAGACGGATTAAGATTTAAGCTTGGGTCATTATTGAAGTTCGTAAAATTCTCAGTATGAAACATAGGTTGTAATTCATTTATAGTGTCCCTCGAACCAACGGACTTCGATGATGAAGCATCTGCTTGTAGAGTTTCATGTTGCTCTTTGTTTGGCTCATATTCTGCCTTTTTCGGACGATGTAAAAATTTCTTCATGACGTTTAGCCTGTAGACCTTGAGTATTAACTTGTTTAAGTGGCCATCATGATATGTAATTTGGGCCGTACGACATCTTACCTATTTCAACAATGTCGTCAAAAATTGCGACATTGCGTTTGCTAGAACTTTTGATTGAAAGATTCAGACACCAAAGCTAAGATTGATCTTGTAATAGCAACAATACTGATATTTCGAACCTAAAGAATTTTCAAAGGATTGATCTTATTGGAAGCAGAATTAAGATTATTATATTTAGATTCTTTGATCTTTATTGTAATAGAGCTGAAGAGTGTCAAAGTATTATAATCATAATTCGAACTCCGCAAATTTCTTTTGTTAACTTCAAGGGACGTAAAAAGGTTCTTACTGTTTAAAGGCAATGCCAGTTTATTCAATATCCCATGTGGAGAATGTACGGGTCTGTGTTGTTATGGTGGGACTTCCAGCCAGGGGAAAATCCTTGATTGCTCAAAAGATAGTTAGATACTTGAGGTGGTTATCCATCAAATCAAAGTGCTTCAATGTTGGTACCTACAGACGTAAGCTTGCGAGTCTGCAAGTTGACGCTGAGTTTTTTAGCCCAAATAATGAAGAAGGTTTGAGAAACAGAATGGAAGCGGCCAATACTGCCGTTGAAGATATGATGAAGTGGTTTACAGAAGAAAATGGAGTTGTGGGTATATTGGATGCCACTAATTCCACAAGAGAGAGAAGAGATTGGATTTTAAAATTATGCCGTGAAAATTCGATTGAACCCATGTTCTTAGAGAGCTGGTGTAATGATAGTGATTTAATTTTGCAAAACATCGCAGATGTTAAGACCACATCACCAGATTATTTGGACACGGATTCTGAATTTGCAACACAAGATTTCTTAAGGAGGATCAAGTATTATGAAGAGACTTATGAAACAATGGACCGAACTGTTGATGCATCTAAAACTTTTATCAAACTCATTAATGTTAATTCTCATATAATTTTAAACAGAATTGAAAGCTACTTAGAAAGCAGAATAGTCTACTATGTCATGAACTTGCATATTAAGCCTAGAAGCATTTGGCTTTCAAGGCATGGAGAATCGGAATACAATTTAACTGGCCAAATTGGGGGTGATGCTAATCTCTCAGAGAGAGGCTGGAGATACGCAAAAAAGCTTCCTGAACTTGTTTTGAAGTCTCTCGGTGAAGACGAGAAACATACAAACTTAACAGTTTGGACGTCAACATTAAAAAGAACTCAACAAACAGCATCCTTTTTACCATATCAGAGGAAATTGCAATGGAAGGCTCTCGACGAACTTGATGCCGGTGAATGCGACGGAATGACTTATGAAGAAATCGAAAACCAATTCCCCGAAGATTTTAAAGCCAGAGATGATAATAAATATGAGTATCGCTACAGAGGCGGCGAGTCTTACCGTGATATCGTTATTAGGCTTGAACCCATCATTATGGAGCTTGAAAGACAAGAAAACATATTAATTATCACGCATCAGGCAGTTTTAAGGTGCTTATATGCATATTTTATGAGCGTTCCCCTGGAAGAATCTCCTTGGATGTCGATTCCTTTACATACTTTGATTAAGTTGGAACCCAGAGCATACCTGACGCTTGTAAGTAGGATAAAAGCTGATATTCCAGCAGTGAGTACCTATAAAGAGAAAGGAACATCGCAGCTAGGAGAGCTTACTAAAGGAACAAACATTTCCAAAAGTAGGGACCTCATAAATGAGAGTAATTGTGCTAACTTCTAAGTTCAATAAGTTCACAAGAAATCAACTAGGCAACATGAAAACATGATGCGTGAATTCATATAGATTAGGCAAAATCATCTTAGTGTATCTCGATATATTATTTCAACTAGCTCATTTCAATTGAGCGGATTTAGGGATAAATTACATATGTTATACATTTTTATATACTCTATTCATATTCCACTTCTTACACCACACTCAGGCCGCATTTGCATATCTCTTGGATTGCTCTTTGACCTTTTTCTCATAAGTCTCCTTGTCCTTACTGAACGCTTTCCAGGCAGGTTCTTGGGCCGGGGAGTCTGGGTTTGGGGAGTCTAAGAGCTCCTGTATCCCTAAAACAATCTGCTTTAACGTAATTGCGGGTCTCCAATCTTGCTCTTCATTCAAGATAGAGAGACACACCGTACCACTAGGATACACGTTTGGATGATAAAAGCCGGCCGGAAATTTGACCTTAGGAGGTTTAGAAGGATATTCATCTGGAAATGCTATCGTGACAGGGTAAGTGGCATTTTGCCACAATGTATTCGCCTTTCCTGGTATTCCAGCAGTCCACTGAGTAAGATCTAAACTTCCATCCTGACTCTTCGTTGGCTTAGCGTAAAACCCAAAAGGATGATCTTTTCTCCACAGTTTCCTCTCTTCTTGCAATCTAGTTCGACAAAGCGACATTATTTTGCCCTTTCTGGTCTCCAGGTATAAATTGTTTTGCCTTCAAAGTGTTCTCCACGGCGATGCAATTTTAACATTTCTTTAAGATAGGTGACACCGTATTTACAAAGTCCATCGCACACGACCACTGCCAGCACCTTACCTAGAGGTATCTTCTACACTCAGTGCAAGAGGTCGTTCTTGTGATCCTTATTATACTATGTACGGCGACTCAAGGAACTCCCAATAAGTCATGAAACTTTGGAAAAGTACGGCTTTGGTTAAGATTGCAATGAACCTCGGGTTCAATTTCTCTTATAATCATTAGATGACTAATTGTTTCAAGGCTATAGAAGCTTTAAATTCTATGAAAACTTAGCAAGAAGTTCACCAATCATTTACGGTGTAAGTTAGAAGTAATTCCAGCTATTTTAGTAAGCCTAGAAAAA